AAAAAAAAAAAGAAAACTATCCTGGCTGTTCTAGCCAAGTTACTAGCCTTCCGTTTAGCTGAAGAAATGCTTCTTTGAAGACTTCCCAGAGTATCAAAGGCAATGCTACTCCCCTGCCAGGTGGAAAGAAGTCTGGCTTTGAAATAATGTCCTGAATGTTTCAAAAATAGTAAAGAAATGGAGGGCCGAGCCCGTGGTGCACTTGGGAGAGTGCGGCGCTGGAAGCGCAGCAGCGCTCCCGCCACGGGTTCGGATCCTATATAGGGATGACTGGTGCACTCACAGCGCTCACTGGCTGAGCACAGTGTGGCCAGTCTCAAAAACAGGACAAGAAAAAAAAAAAAGAAATGGAGAGGTATTACTCTAATGTACAAAAAGGGTCCAGAGCTGAGGCTACAGCATGGGAGATAGAAGGGCATGAGCAGCGGGACCCGGGCAGGCTTAATCCCTTCACTGGTTGAGTTTCTTAGGTCTCCACCACACCATCCTCTCACCAGGGACTATAAACACCCCAGTGGCAGTCCCATTACAAAAATGCACAGTTTCCTAGATAGCACCTACTCAGGTATGTTGTGTACTGAAGAAACATGGAATGTAATTTAGTTAGTGTCAAAATACTGAGTAATTCCCCAGGCCCTGTGCCTTCTTCCCAACGTAGTGCAGCCTCAAGCTTTGCCATGTGCTTCCTTCAAGCCTGCATCACCCTGCCCTAGTCTGGGACAGGGGCCAGCTCTGGCTGAATTACAGAAGAAAGAAGGGCTGGAGGCTGCCTGGTTCCCTGTTGGTGCTACAATGACATTCAGAGGCGCTTGTTCAGCCCTCTTCCCCATGTATAGACATGTCTGGACTTTCTAGGCTGATTGAGATCTCTAGTTAGTACGTGGAAAAGTCAGAAAGGGCCCCTTAAGATCTCAGACATGAGGGACTACTTTATGTAAAGAAAGAATGTATCACACAGAAGCTAATGTCCACCCCAACTCAGGGCCTTTACGAAGCTGTTCCCTCTGCTTGGGATGCTTTTCCCTGTACTCTTTGCCTGGCCAATGTGTACTTAACTTTCAGCTCAAAGTCTTTTCTGACTCCTCTAAATTAGGTTCCCTTGTCCTCACCATCCAATATTCTGTCTCAGCACCCTGATTTTTTCCTTAATAATTCTTACCACGGTTTATACTTATATGTTTACTTGGCCAGTATCCGCTTCCTTCACTAGACTGTGAGCTCCATGAGGGTAGGAACTACATGTGTTCTGTTCACCTGCACTTAACGCCTGGCGCACGGGAGTGACTCAATACACATGTGTTCACTGAGTGAAGGAAGTGGATGAGGGTCACTGGGCAAATGCTGAGGTTTTGCTTGCTGTTAGGGAAGTGGGAGAATGGGAGGGAAAGAGAATGTTAGCAATGAGAGCATCTGGGGTTCACCAATGCAAGGTTGGTGTTCTTCTTTACAGGGAATCAGCCAGGCAGGGGTATAGCTTACTTCTGTGAGGAGCCTCTCCATGGAGCTTTTCTCTCCTCTCGGGTGGCAGTTCTGTTCCTCACCATACTGGGTATGGAAGCTTTTGCTGGGAGTGCTGAAATATTTGGCCATGTGTCTGATTGTTTGGTTTTCCTCTTCAAATGCCTTCCATTGCTTCAGCTGTTAGATAAAAGAACACATGTTATTTATTTAATTACACACCCAGAAACGCATTCTCTCACTCTTTCTCATAAACACCGAGCAATGACACTGCCACAGATATACATGTGCACAAGCTATTCTCTCCTCAAAATGCCTTTTACCCTGGAGGGCTCATAGACAATAACGACTGAAGGCGTAGAGAATGTTAAGGTTATGTAGTTTTAAAAGCGCCAGTGGAAGAAGACGACAGGCAGATAAAATATCAACAACCTTAGCCCATCTACCTACCCACTGCCAAACTGATCAAAGAAAATCGGGGTCAAACTGTACTTCTAAAGCCATGTTCTAAAGCCAGAGTCTAGGAGCTATCACCGGGTTGAGCAATCAACACACTGTATGTTTCAAACGCAACCGTTTCTAGTTGTGTGCAGCTGTTCTATTTTTCTCTTGTTCAATGATGGTGTGCTTACCGCTACTGAAAGCCCAGTTCTTTGTTGGTGAACTTCTAACCCAGATCAATCACCAAGGCTCAGACAGATAGAAAACCTCAAATATTAATGAAAATGATGCTGAGTCTGAGATCTGATCATCTTTTTCCCTTGACAAGTGAGGAAAGACTCAGAGGGCATGTGTATTAGTCTGTTTCTGTTGCTTATAACAAAATACTTGGAACTGGGTGATTTATTAAAAAAAGGAAATGTATTGATTACAGTTTCTGGGGCTGGGAAGTCCAAAGTCCAGGAAACACATCTCTCTGGTGAGAGCCTTGGGGGTGGCAATGGTGATGGCAGAGCATCACATTGCGAAAATGGTGGAGCAGAGAGAGCGCCTCACTCACTCTCCTGTTAAAGCCCTCAGAACCACGCCCTGACCACCATTTTTAATCCATTCACTACTCCATGGTCCTGCAATTTAATCACCTCTTCAAGGCCCCGCCTTTCAATTCCCATAATAGGATTTCCCACCCTCTTAAACTGTTAGTGTTCAGTTCTGGGGGGACACTCAATCCAAGGCAGCGTGGGACTGTCTAGGCTTGTGCAGCTAGGCAGCAGTAGAGCCACAGCTGTAACCAGGGCATGATGCCCCACCACACCATGTCCTCACACAGCTCACGTCCTCACATGATGAGCTGTGTGAGCGCGATGTTCTCACACAGCTGATGAAGAGAGGATGTCCTGGGGAAAGTTCTTCAGGAGAAAGTCGTCTTGAGAAACAGTCTGTGGCATCCTGGGCTGGTTCAGTTTAACAGGGGTGAAGCTGAACATAGACCATTCACAAACAGGGGGCTGCTCCTGAGCCACTGGGACACTGTCTCTACCTGGTCAGTGCCAGGGATGTGAATGTCAGGGGAGGCCACTTTGGTGGAGGCTTCTCTTTTTCCCTAAGGAATCTCCATAACTAAGTGTTCTAGTGACACAGCAGAGGACTCTGGCACCTTAGTTCTAGAAATCATGCTGAGGTGTCTATGGGATGCGTCAAAGGGAACCTGGGATTTCTTTGCTCACTCATCAAACATTTATTCAGCTCTGACTATAGCGTGTAACCCAAATTTCATAAATCTTGGGATTCTAAATCCTGCACCAACTTCAATACCACATTCTTTTCCAAGTCCTCCTGGGTCCTCTGTTGACTCAGCATGAGTCCTTCACAGTGTCAGGAGTCTGTGTGACCCATGCTGAGTCAGGCCAGACCCTCCCCTTTGGATGCCCTCGCCGTCCCCCCAAGATGTATTCCCTACATAGTGCTGCTTCAGGAGCTGCTGCAGCCGACACCACAAGGTCACTGTCTAGACCTGGCTGGATGGAGCAGACCTCCTAGGGTTATTCTCCACCCCCACTCTGAGCCCCTCTGCAGGGCTGCCAGAGGAACAGCTTAACACTGGCATAAGGGCACTTTCAGGGCTTTTGGTCTGTCTCTCTCTAAGCTGGCCAGATGGAGCCAAGGTGTCCCTTGACTAACATCCCTCTGCCCCGGCCACCACCTTAATTCCTTGTGAAGATCCTGGTCCTTCAAGCTGGACCCCCAGTGTTTCTTGAATACAGCTATAAATGCTCCTCAGGTCGTAATGACAGGCCCTCTCCTGTGCCCTTCCTCCAGAAGGACAGGCACATTCTTGTTTTCTTAGTCTCTAGGCTCTGTGGATGTGATAGGCTGAATAATGGCCCCTCAAAGATGTTCATTCACCTCCTAATCCCTGGAACCTGTGAATCTTACCCTACATGGCAAAAGGAAAGTTGCAAATGTTATTAAATTAAGGATTTTGAGATGGGGGTATTATTCTGGATTACCCCGGTGAGTCCAACGTAACCAGAAGGTTCTTTATAAGAGGGAATCAGGAAGGTCAGAATCAGAGGAGGAGATGTGATAATGGAAACAGGTCAGAGAGAGAGAAAATGAGAGAGTGAGATTTGAATATGCCGTACTGCTGGCTCAGAAGGGGGAGGAAGGGATGATGAGAAAATGAATGCAGTGGCCTTTAGAAGCTAGAAAAGACAAGGAAATAAATTCTCCCCTGGAGTCTCCAGGAGGAATACAGACTTACTGATATCTTGATTTTAGCCAGATAAGACACATTTCAGATTTCTGACCTCCAGAACTGTAAGATAATACATTTGCATTGTTTTAAGCCACTAAGTTTATGGTAATTTGTTACAGCAATAGGAATCTAATACAGTGGGATTCAATGTCAAGTCTTTAAAAGGGTCCACTAGGGCTTTCAGAAGCTCACCACACATGCTTCTCTTACCTCTTGCCACTCTCCCTTTATTTCCATTTGTGCTTCAAAAATAGTAAAGACTGCAGTGCTCCAAACATACCCTACTCTCTCTCATACCTCTCTGCCTCTGGTTACTGTAATACATCTGCTCAGCCAACTCTTACTATTCCTTCAAGGCTGATCTCAAACACCCCATTCTCTGGGAAGGTGCCACCGAGTTCCCAGACATGCCAGGGCATGCCTCCCTTGGCCTCGTGTAACATACCTTCCTCGAAGGCATGCAATCTAATTCCTTTCAGGTCTGCTCCCCTCTAGGTCTAGAAGAGGGGCCATGTGTTTCACTGAATGTCCCCAGCAGTTAATAAATGGATAGTTGGATACCTGAACCAATGAAGGAAGCTTTCCTTTAAAAAGCTCTCTGGCCTAGTGGGGGCGCTGGGACATATACAGATATACCAATAAGGCAGAGTAGAAAGTCCAAAGCATATTCACGGAGGAACAAATGAAACACTTTGAGGGTTAGAGGAGAAAACAATTTCCTACCTCAGGATCTGTTGCCTCTCAGAGGGAGCAAGGGGATGGGGGGATGGGTCACATTCAGGTCACAAAAGCAGAGGTTGGCTGATTACTAGTGATGACCTCAGTGCTTGGCATAAACACTTAGGCATTTCCTGAGTGCTGTGGAGAATGTTTCTTGGTCCACTTGTCTCTTTAGTAATGTCATCCATTTCACCCAGCTTTCTAGCACCGCCTAGCTGCCCTTGGGGGTATCTGTGCTTTTGCTTTCATGAACTGCTCCCATCACAGTCCAGTCTGGAAGCTCAATGGCACGAAGGAACCCCTCTGGCTGCAACAACACCCCCCCTGCCCCCTGCCACCATAGCTCCTCTCACACGCTTTTCCAAATTTACTCAGCTGTCCTACTCTCCTGGGAATACACAGTGCAAGTCCACCAGGGAGAATCGTTCTTCTACCAATGACCTCTGAGCCAGAGGGGAAAATCAATTCAGAGGCACACAGAAACTGACAAACCTCAGTCACTTTTAGATTTTGAAAAATAAATTTAAAAAAAGAATTTACTTCCTAAACTTAAAATACAATAAGCTATATTTTTTAGTTTCATATTATGGTCAGTTCAAGAGAAAAAAACATGAGAGAGAAAATAGAAGGGAAAAGGTCAAGGAAGAGAAAGGAAGATCAAGAAAGCTAGGGGGAAAAGGGGAGTGAGACAGACATAGGAAAGAGAAATGCCAGCGCTGCCCAGCCACCCAGTTCCTGTACCCCACAATCATTCCGTTTCCACTCCCATTTCAACAAATCAAGTGCTTGCTGCTTAGTTCCAACGTGGAAGTCAGATTTCAAGCTGTACTTCATCCTGCATTATTGTGTCTGTGTGTAGATGGGAGTGTACCCAGATATCACTAGTGTCCTAGGTGCTGAGGATTTAAACACCAGAGGAAGCAGAAGTCGTGTGACTGAGGCTCAGGATGCAAGGGGGACAGTGGTGGAGGGCCAGGGTGGAGAGAGGAGATGTAGGCAGGGCCACATCATGATTCACTCAATTTTCAATTTTCAGATGAAAGTCTTGTTTGGGATCAGGAAGGCTTTCCTCTAATAGTTTCCCGATGATTACTTCTGCCCCAAATTACTTTGTTCTCTTTCAGAGTCTCCTATTAGCTCTAAATTGTATCACTAGATCTATTTTCCATATTTTCTTATCAAGTATCTCATTTTTATCTGTTTTCTGTTTCCTTAAATTAATTCACTAATTAAATATTTTGCAGTGTCCAATTGCCTATTCAATGCTTCTATTTGGGTTTTCAATTTAACACAATATTTTTCATCCTTATTCAATATTTCATTACCTAAGATTATGTCCTTTTCATGGTGGTTTGCTTTAGTTGAAGACAGGCAATACCCTTGAATCCTATGGATAAGACAAATCAGAATTCTTCTAAAAAGTTCTATTCTACTTCAGAGGAAGGCAACTTCTTCAAATCTTCAACTGGGGTCCTCTTCTTGTGAACTAAAAACTCTCTTCATAGGTCCTTTCCCCCTGAATTTACAGTCTTGCATGGGAAGAGCTATATTTTCCTAGTATAGTAAATATATTCTCTTAGTCTTCCCTCCTGGTCACATTATGGCTGCCACAGCTCCAAACATCACATACATTCAAGGAAGGAAAAAGGTAAAAGGGGTGATGCCAGCTATGCTTATCACTTTTTTCAGGAAAGCAAAAGCTTTCTTGGAGGTTTCTCAGTGTTCAGAATGGTGTTGTGTGGGTAACCTTAGCTATACGGGAGGCTGGTAAAGCAAGTGGTTAGCTTTTTCAGTCCACACAGTGGAGGAAGCAAGGAAGAAAGAGGTTGGCAAAGAGGTTACTAATCAGTAATGTTAGCCACAAGGCCCAAGGGGTGGTCTTCCCAAAAGGCCCTTCTCTACTCCCTTTCCCCCACCTCCCAGGGAGGAACAGCCCTTGCTTTTCAGAGCCCTTTTCTGCTACATCCCAGACAAATAAGCCTCAGTTCTTAATGGCTTACTTCAATCCAGTTCTTACATTAAGATTTGGCAAAAATTCCTCCAGTTTCTAGCAACGAGGCAATACCCATTCTTGGTTTCTAGCACTGCTGCTGCAGCAGATTTTTCCATATTTGTTTATTCTCTTGAGTATTTTAATGAGAATTTGTGAACAGGTAGAAAAGTGAAGGTCCCATGCGTGTGTCACACCATCATGCCCCAGGTGCACTCTTCCCTTTTATAGATACACTGTAACCCTTCACCAGCCAGTGCTTGAATTATCAGTTAGCTCCTTCATGAGGAAGTAGTTCACTGTGAACTGGAAGCAGCAATGGGAATCAGGATGGGGTCTTGAGAGAGGAGGGGGTTTACAGAGGTCTGGGGGTGTGGAGAGAAAAGAACTAGGAGGGAAACAAGAAAGTGCCGAATGCCAAATACATTAACTTGGACATATGGGGCTCAGTGGTCCCTAGGGCACGGCGTGCACGATTATACATCACTTTTCTTTCTGAGCTATGAATTCCTTCTCCTTTCCCTCTGACTGCTTTTCTTCTTTTTGCTATCTGGATATTTCTGCTTCTATTTTCCTCCCTCATGTGATTTTTTTCTTAATCCCCATAATATGAAACATATTTTAATTTAGTTTTTATTTTTCCTTACTGCAAAATGAAGAGGAATGTTCTATATTTTCTTCCAATAGAAGGAAAAGGAAAGAATTTTAAATCATAAAGTTCCAGATGGATTTTTTCCTGTGAGTCTGCACTCTCAAATGGGAGGGAAATAGAGTCTCCTCATCCCCAGACTAGTGAAAGAAAGAACATTATTGAGATGAAGGGGGCATTGGGAATAAGTGAAGCAGCCAGGAGGGTGGAGGGAAAAGCAGGTCTGCGAGGCCGCCCCCATGCAACAGGCCCTGACGGTTGGCAGGTGCTCCACGCTGGCCTGCCCTCCTTGCTGTCCTCCAGGACAGTGAGGAAGGACAGAGGGGGCCAGCTCATTAGGAATCCTGCTTTCCTTTTGACTCTCCAACAAATGGCATGCAAATATATCAGTAGAAAACAGACTAATTTGTCATGCCCAGTGAAAACTCTGGAGTGACTAGGAGGACCAGCCGTAAAAACTCTCCCTAGAGCACACCTGGGGAATGAAGATGAAGCAGTTGATTGTGGTTGTGCAAACAAAGATGCCTCCAGATGTAAGTCCAAAGACCAGGTTGGGCCAGGAGTTCAAGTATCTGGTGACGACAAAAAGCAGCCCAGCAGCCAGTACCAGCAGGTTGACCCCAACCATGATGGTTGAGGACTGATTCACAGGAGGAGAGCTCACGTGGTCAGTCAGGCCAGCCAGGTAGGCACCATACAGCAGGAGCAGACCCTGGGGGTGAAGAGGAGAATCAGAGGCTCAGAGAAGTGGAAAAGCAGGTTGAACTGCAGTAGGAAGGGGCATCTGCAAAATTGGGATAATAGTACCTATCTTAAAGGGTTGCTGTGAGGATCTGCTAAGATAACACAGGAAAACCCTTAGGGTGGCCCCTTATACATAGTATCTGCTGAATAAATGTCATTTTCCTCTCCTTCACTGAGAATTAGTTTGTGAGAAGTCAGCAAGTCAACCACTAGACAGGACTCTTCTGCGACAAGGTACAGGACAGGATGATGCAGGTGAGTGGGAGTCTTACAGAAAGGACTGTCAGGCACTAGGAGGGCACATCATGCTGCTGGTGGTGAAAGTGACTGCGTCCATAGGGCAGTTTTGCACTCATGAAGCTGAGGGGCACGTGGAAGCTGAAATCAACCTGTGGTCTGCTCTGTCAAGCCATGTGCCATAGCAGAGGCAGTGCCCAGAGGAAGGGGCTTTTTTCTAATTTGCTCAAAGGCACCATCTGCTTGCCAAGCCCTGCACCTGCAAGATTGCATCTGCCCAGAAGGGATGCCTTTTTCTAATTTACACAAAGGATCTCTATAGGCTAGCCGTGGCTCTAAGCCAGTGGGTGTTGATGGGAGATGAAGGGTGGAAAAAGAAGAGAACAAAGGCAGGCTAGTACCCAGGCAAGACTGTGGGTCAGGCACAGGCAGCAAAAGCTCCATCTTTCCACCCTCCTGTGACAGTCCATACCCCCACCACAATGAACCCAAAGCCCTCTTCTTTTCTCTTTCCCATGAATATAAACCTCCCTGAGTTCTCATTTGTACTAAGTAGAAATAACTCACAGCCCCTTAAAGTGTTACCTCTTCAAGAAGGAGCTGCATTTATACAGATATCAGAGCATTAATCAACAATACACAATATATAGATTCAACATATGTTTGCCTTTCTGACTACGTGCGAAGTGCCATACTGGTGTAGGGCAGAAAATAGGACTACAAAGAAGAAAAGGTCTAAAGGTGAGCACACAAAGGTCCATGTTTATAACCCAGAATGTGAAGATGCATAGGGGTGGGAATTATGCAGTCGGATCATTAGTAATTTAATCAAAGGTGAATAAAATTAATTCTGTGATTTTGAAATGTTTAGATATGATTCCACTAAAATATTTTAATTCCATTAAAATTCTTGCTAAAAGGGAAATAGGTATGAATATAGTCTCTATTCATCCACGGCTTGAGAATGAGTGAGTCCCCAAACAAATAAACAGTAGAGAAATAAAAACAGTTATGGCTTTGAGGCTTATGCATCAATAGAAGTCTCCTCTGAGTTCAAGATTCTTTGCAAACATCACCTCATTAATTCCTGTAATTCC